TTACGCACGGGACAGCGTGGTTTTAGATTGGCTAGTCCTTCGGTCACGAGTTTGGTGAGAAGGGCTGGGATCTGATGCCGCGATCGTCACAGGGAGCATTTAAAAATCTGATAAATTCACTTCTATCAACACACTCCTTATCAAACCTTGAAACTAGGCCTATATTCAAATGTTAACCCAATTGAAGCTAACAATAAAGCCAATATAATTATTGGAAATAACGGGCAGAGGTTACAAAGTACAGTGTGTCATATTTTATTGCTCTGTGTCCCCATTACCAAAATCGATGGCCTGTTCTAGGTGTAAGACTGAATTTAAAGTACACAGAGCAAAATTCCTCCAACAAAAATGCATAAACTGCACAGCAATGGCAAGAGAGAAAACTTGGACATATTCAAACCAGAGGCAAGGCAACAGTCTGTAATCCTTTATTATTCACTGTAATGTGTTAAGTGATAGTCAGTAACATGATGTGTGGGTGACAGTAAGCCAACACTGACAGCCCTGCTACCCCAAAACACAGCTTATGATGGCTATTAGGAAATTCAGCCTTGCTGCTATAACAAAAGTGCAATAAATCCTTTCTGCATTGCTGCTGGGGAGATTAAAGAACATGTAAAGCCAACATTTCAAATTCCTGATATGTTCCTTCTGTACCATGTACTTGTATGAAAAAGTATCCTGTTCTCTTTGTATTGTATAAGAAACTGGAAGCGACAAGTGTTTTGTCACTTATGGCTTCGCCTGGATGTAAACCATTGCTGGCTTGGGAACGCATCAGATCAAACTGATCTGTGCTTTGAAGGGCAGAGGAGATATCTGGGGTCACATAGACCCCAAATCTCTGCATAAAGAGGACTTTTCACTGCTTTAGCTATCACAAGGAATGTTGTTCATTACTTATAGCCATAAAAAGGATAGATAAATAAAAACATAAATAAATAAAAACCTAAAGAGACAGTGTAAAAATAAAATAAATAATAAAAAAACTAATTTAAAGCACCCTTCCTTCCCAGTGCTCATGTGTAAAGGTGAATGCATAGGTAGATCTTGGTTTTTATACAGAAGTGAACCTGATTTTGCACTCTCCAGCCTTAGTAAATAAGCCCCAGTGTATCCTTGTTTGCCTGCATTGATTTTGAATTTTTTCACTTGGTCCCCTGGGGGAGGAAATTCAATTTTAAAAAATTGTAATAAGACTTCTTTTTTATTAACTTGCACACAGACAGACCGACTATTGGCAGAATCAGGTAATTTTAGAATTAGCTGATAATCAACCAGTATAAAAAGAGAAACTGGCTCTCTACAAAATAATTGGTCATTTGATGTTGGTTAGAGAAGACAACCCAGACAATAAATACTCCGGTGCAAATATATAACTGCACAACTTTCTTTTTTGTTTCTTATGCTTTTTTTATTTATGACTCAAAAAAAAAAAAAAAATATGATCCTGCTATATAAGTAACCTTATTATTACAAGTACTTACAGTTGTAAGAAAAAGTATGTGAACCCCTTGGGATTACGTGGAGTTTTGCATGAATTGGGCATAAAATGTGCTCTGAACGTCATCTAAGTCACAACAATAGAAGAACACAGTCTGCTGAAACATAATACTACACAAACATTAGATGTTGCCATGGTTTAATTGCACATAACATGTAAACATTCACAGTGCAGGGAGGAAAAAGTATGTGAACCTTTGGACTTAATAACTGGTTGACCCTCCTTTGGCAGCAATAACCTCAACCAAACGTTTCCTGTAGTTGCAGATCAGACCTGCACAACGATCTGGAGTAATTTTGAACCACTCCTCTTCACAAAACTGTTTCAGTGTAGCAATATTCTTGGGATGTCTGGTGTGAATCGCTCTCTTAAGGTCATGCCACAGCATTTCAGTCGGGTTGAGGTCAGGACTCTGACTGGGCCACTCCAGAAGGCGTATTCTGTGCTGTTGCAGCCATTGTTTTGTTGAATTACTTGTATGCTTTGGGTCATTGTCCTGTTGCATCACTTATCCTCTGCGGAGCTTCAGTTGACGGACAGATGGTCGTATGTTTTCCAACAAAATGTCTTGATAAACTCTGGAATTAATTTTCCCATCAATGACAACAATCCGTCCAGTCCCTGAGGCAGCAAAGCAGCCCCAAACCATGATGCTCCCTCCGCCATGTTTCACAGTGGGTATGAGGTTTTGATGTTGGTGTGCTGTGCCTTTTTTTCTCCACACATAGTGTTGTGTGTTCTTCCCAAACAACTCAATCTTGGTTTCATCTGTCCACAGTATATTTTGCCAGTAGTGCTGTGGAACATCCAGGTGCTCTTTTGCAAACTTCAAACGTGCTGCAATCTTCTTTTTGAACAGCAATGGCTTCCTCCGTGGTGTCCTCCCATGTACTCCATTCTTGTTTAATGTTTTCCTTATTGTAGATGTCTCAACAAAAATGTTAGCATGTGCCAGAGATTTCTGTAGGTCTTTAGCTGACACTCTGGGATTCTTCTTTACCTCATGCAGCATTCTGCGCTGTGCTCTTGCAGTCATTTTTACAGGACGACCACGCCTAGGAAGAGTAGCAACAGTGCTAAACTTTCTCCATTTGTAGACAGTCTGTCTTACCGTGGACACATGAACATCAAGGCTTTTGGAGATACTTTTGTAACCCTTTCCAGCTTCATGCAAGTCAACAATTCTTGATCGTAGGTCTTCTGAGAGCTCTTTTCTGCGAGGCATGGTTCACATCAGACAGTGCTTCTTGAAACCAGTAAACCCAAAACAGGTGTGTGTTTTTTAAGGGCAGGACAGCTGTCAGCAACAAATCCAATATTAATCACACTGATTGGAGTCAATGTTGGCTCACTCCTGGCTCCAATTAGCTCTGGGAGAAGTTATTAAGCTGGGGCCTCACATACTTTTTCCTCCCTGCACTGTGAATGTTTGCATGTTATGTGCAATTAAACCATGGCAACATCTAATGTTTGTGTAGTATTATGTTCAGCAGACTGTGTTCTTCTATTGTTGTGACTTAGATGACGTTCAGAGCACATTTTATGCCCAATTCATGCAAAACTCCACGTAATCCCAAGGGGTTCACATACTTTTTCTTGCAACTGTATATAGCACTGTCAATTTACATAATCTATATAGTGCTAAAAAGATATACAACGTACACCAAGATACCTTTATATATTGTTTCTGTTCTAACTATATTACTGTAGCAGTGACACACATTCAGAGCAATGGTGTCAAAATAAATGAGAGGTCCCAGCAACAAAGTGGCTCCCGCCTCAGCCAAGATGCATAAGGTTAAGGTATATTACTTCAATAAACAAAAATTTGCCTGACAGGAACATGGAGGTCACTGATTTCTCATTTTGTAAATTCTAGTTCACATTCCAGAATAAATTGCAGATAAGGATTTCTGACTTTAAGTCAATGGGCCACTATATCAGCCAGGTAACTACAATTTCAATAGGTCAAGATGGGCAACCCCCATATTTCGCTTACAAAATCTTTACTTTGAAATGTACCTGTGGCATATTGAAAGATCATATACACAATGTGCTAATCCTGTCCATAACTTTTATGCTCATGCTCTTATATGTCCTCCATATTTGCCAATAAATTGGACAGGTGGTAAGTAGGGATGGCTGGGGTACAGGGCAGAGTAGAAAATATGCATCTTTACATAAGATTAGTATAACAGAACTCTAGGATTATGGGCTCATGGGGTGCTGAAGTGCCTGCTACCCACATCAGAGGCCATGTTAAGATCCTTTGAGAGACTGCAGGTTTCCCTTAGAAAGGCTTGACAGAAAATTCCAGAGAAGAAAAACAAACATAATAAGAACAGATAATCACAAGCAATTATCTACTGTTATTGAAAGTGTTAGGACTGTAATCTGTTCTGGCCAGGAAATTCTACTCCTTTAGTGTTAATGTTTCCAATACAAAAAAAAAATACATTTTAACACAAGAACTAAACATATTGTACTGCCTTGTGCCGGAAGAGAAAATAAAAATAAATACTGAGGTATCAGTACCGAGTCCACAGCCATCAGAATAAATCAAACTTTCCTCAAGCAATACTATTTATTTTTCAACTTCAAGGGCATGTCACATTTACTTATCTCATCCATACTTTAAATTGGCTTTTAGTCTTTAGCTGGTTCATTACAATTAGGGTTTGGCTGCATTCAGTGTCTAACAAAACTGTCATCATCACTTGGGAATGTCAGGGATCACTATCACGGTGATCAGATCTCACAGGGCTTCCATCTTCAAGATTGATGTGGCTATAATGAAAGGTGCAGCTGCCAGAAAGCTGCATATTGCTGTGCTGGATCATTCTGTAAGTAAATCTCCCCTTTGAGTGTTTTCTTCTCAGTATGCATTGCTAAATTTGTTATGTTCTATGTATACAGAATCTTGCTTAAATTACATTGCATAGGAAACACTGAAAACAGTGTACATTAAAAATTTTCTATCATTAACCTTTATTATTTACCCTTTAACATTTTTTGGTAAAAACGAACTAAAGTGTCTATTGGTGTACACAACAAATTCGGTTGGAGCTTGAGAGGAAAGAAAGATTCCCAGCATCTGTGGTCAGTGGGAGTAAAAACATACCTCAGCATCAATATTTACAGTAGTCAAGGGTTAGTGGTAAAAAAAAAAAAAGAAAAAAATGTTTCAACAAACAGTGCTGTGAAAAAGTATTTGCCCCCTTCCTGATTTTTTTTGCATATTTGCCACACTTAACTAGTTGCCGACCGCAGATAGCCGAATGACGGCTGCACTGCGGTCGGCCAGTTCTGGGTGGATGTCATATGACGTCCCCCCAGAACGCGCTCTCCTGCGCACCCCAGAGGGCGCGCACCCGGCGATCTCCGTGATCGCTGTGTCCTACGGACACAGCTGATCACGTGATGTGGTAAAAGGCCAATCATACCGGCCTTTTACCACGTGATCAGCGGTGTCCAATGACACGCTGATCACAGGGAAATGCAAGTGCCGGTTCTCGGCTGCACTTTCCTCACGCTGTCAGATCGTGAGGAAAGTACTGCCGAGAACCGGCAGTTGTCAGAGCGAGGATCGGCACCGATCATCAGGGCACTGATGATCAGTGCCCTGATGATCGGTGCCCAGCAGTGCCACCCACAAGTTCCGCCCACCTGTGCCCAGCAGTGCGCCCACTAGCCCCGCCCACCTGTGCCCAGCAAATCACCCACCTGTGCCCAGCAGTGCACCCACCTGTGCCCAGCAGTGCACCCACCTGTGCCACTCTGCAGTGTCACACACACCTGTGCCCAGAAGTGCCACCCACCTGTGCCCACCCACCTGTGCCCACCAGTGCCACCCACCTGTGCCCACCTACCAGTGCTGCCCACCAGTGCTTTTTTTTTTTTTCAACCTTTTTTTTTTTACAAATTTTTTGCACTTTTTTAATTTATAGTGCAAAAAGTAAAGCGCCCAGTGGCGATTAAATACCACCAAAAGAAAGCTCTATTTGTGAGAAAAAAATGATCAAAATTTCATATGGGTACAATGTTGCATGACCGCGCAATTGTCAATCAAAGTGCGGCAGCGCTGAAAGCTGAAAATTGGCCTGGTAAATAAGGGGGTATAAGTGCCTGGTAGGCAAGTGGTTAAATGATTCAGGTTATCAAAGAAATTTTAATATTACACAAAGATAACTGGAGTAAATACAAAATGCAGTTTTTAACTGATGATTTCATTATCAAAGGAAAAAAGCTGACCAAACCTGCCTGGCCCTATCTGAAAAAGTAATTTGCAAAGGCTCATCTCACATTTGCAAAAAAAAAAAAAAAAAATCTTGATTATCCCCAAGACTTTTGGGCAAATATTCTGTGGACTTAGGAGACAAAAGTTGAACTTTTTGGAAGGTGTGCGTCTCGTTACATCTGTAAAACTAACACAGCATTTCATAAAGAGAACATCATACCAACAGTCAAACATGGTGGTGATAATGTAATGGTCTGGGGCTGCTTCAAGGCCCGGACAACTTGCCATAATTGCTGGAACCATGAATACTGCGCTCTACCTGAAAATTCTGAAGGAGAATGTCTAGCCATCAGTTTGTAACCAGCTCGAGCACACTTGTGTTATGCAGCAGGACAATGATCCAAAACACACCAGCAAGTCCACCTCTGAATGGCTCAAAAAAAAAAAAAAAAAAAAATTTTTGGAGTGGCTTAGGCATAGTCCAGACTTAAATTCAATTGAGATCCTATGGCATGACCTTTACCAGGCCGTTCATGCTCAAAAACCCTCCAATGTGGCTGAATTAAAACAATTCTGCAAAGCAGAGTGGGCCAAAATTCCTTCACAGCGATGTGAAAGGCTCATTGCCGGTTATCTCAAATGTTTAATTGCAGTTGTTGCCACCAACGGTGAAACAACCAGTTATTAGGTTTAGGGGGCAGTTACTTTTCCACATAGGGCCAGGCAGTTTTGGACAGCTTTTTTCCCTAATCAATGAAATCATCAAGAAGGGGGCAAATACTTTTTCACAGCAGTGTGAAAGAGTGGAAAAGATGCCCCAGTATTGGTGATCAATGGAATTAAGATCATTCAGGATCAGTGGTAAGAGGAAGTAAAAAATGTTTCAGCATCGGTGATCAGTTGGAGCAAAAATTGCCCCAGTACTGGTGGTCAGTTGGAGAGAAAAATGCTGCAGTGTAATTGATCGGCGAGAGGCCCTGGTGTCGGTGGTTAGTAAGAGAAAGAATGGTCCAGGGTCAATGGTAACAGGGGGGAAATGTGTCAGGGTCCGGGATCAGTTGGAGGAAAATATATACTATATGATCAAGTTTGTGGACACCTGACCATCACACCTACAATATACAAGTTTGTTAAACATCCCATTCCAAAATCATGAGCATTGATACAAAACTGAACAACACTTTGGGGCTATACCAGGTTCCACTGGAAAGCATGTCTGTGGGAATTTGGCCCATTTAGTAAAAAATTTGTGAGGTCTAGTACTGAGATTGAATAAGAAGGTCTGGCACGCAATAGGCATTTGACTATACCAAAAGATTTTTAATAGGGTTGAGGTCAAGGGCTTTTTGGACTCTGCATATTGATTTAATATATTTAATATATTTTGAATTTAACTAACCACTTCAATGCTGGGCACTTTTACTCCCTTTCTGCCCAGGCCAATTTTCAGCTTTCAGCGCTGTTGCACTTTGATTGACAATTGCGCGGTCATGCAACACTACTCATGCAATGTTTACCATTTTTTTTCACACAAATAGAGCTTTCTTTTGGTGGTATCTAATCACCACTGAGTTTTTTTTATTTTTTGCTAAATAAAACAAAAAAAACCTAACACTTTGAAAAAAAATGTATTTTTCTTCATTTCTGTTATAACATTTTCCAAATAACATTTCTTCATAAATTTAGGTCAAAATGTATTCTGCATGGTGAGTTTTTTGGAGGTTGTAATTTTTTTGTTACAATTTTTTGCAAAATGTAGAAATTAAGAAAAAAAAAAAACCACAATTTTTTTTTTTTTTTACATATTGTCACCAGTCCAGTACAGCGTTATTATATAACTGGTGTGGTGGTGATCAGAGACACTGACTGGTGACAGTATGTAAAAAAAATAAAAATAATAATTTGTTTTTTTTTTCAAATTTTTTTTATTTTTTACTATTTTTTTTTCAACACACTGTGACCAAAGCAATACAATGTTACTATTACATGACACAGATGGGCTATGATTGGCCTTGTCTGTATCATGTGACTACTTTGACCAGTCACAGCTAACAACATAATTGTATACAATGGATGGCATGACAGGAAGCCATCCATTGTATACAATTGACATGTGATCTGCTGTGATTGAGTACAGTGGTCTCATGACCCTGGCAAGGGACCGATGTAGTGATATGTCATCGGCTGTGTCCTGTGCAGACAGCCAGTGACAGGCTGCGCGGCCCTGAGGCTGCATGGCGGGTCGTTTTGACAGGACGTCATATGACGCCCAGTCACAAGGAGGAGTGTTGAGGAGAAGTGATCTATAGCAGATTGACGTCAATCTGCTATAGATTGGGTGGGAAGGTGTTAAGATATTTTGGGTTTATTATACTGTAATAATCTCTTTATGTTGATGTTATATATGCACTATTGATAAGAGTGATGGAGTGCACTTTATGTTTGAGGTATATATTTTTGAGATACATAATTTTGCAATTGTCACTTTAGGAGTATGTTTTATGCACTATTTGAGGCACTATATTCACTCTATTTTTTGCACACAATATTTTTGAGATACATAATTTTGCAATTGTCACTTTAGGAGTATGTTATATATGCACTATATGTAGAGGCACTTTATTCACTCTATTTTTTGCACACAAAATGCCAATGCACTTGGCATTTTAAGTTCATACCATTCTTTGCACAAAAAATGTCAATACACCTGACATTTTAGGCTTATGACATTTTAACACCAAATATGGTGGAGTAGGGCAGATAGCATTATAAAAATGAGTGTTTCCTCTGTGGGAGACAGATTGATTAGAATATGCTTATGCGCCTGACATCATGCAGTTAGATTGACATTATATAGTGCTGTCTAGTTTTTCACATGTTTTTTAAGTGGGCGGGGGGGGGGGGGGATGCCTCAATGTCAGTGACAAGAAGAATGCCTCATCACTGGTGTCAGTAGGAGGAACAACGGCACACCTTTGTGATGGTGGCAGGAAGAATGCCCTAGAACTGCTATGAGTGTTTCTCTTACCTGAGGAGGCATTTTATGTCCTACATAGTTGCCTGTGACTATGCTGCAAGACATTAGTACCAGATCTATGCAGGAGATCATTGCTCCCAGAATGTGGAACCTGTGGTGAAGGAGGGAATGCTCTGGTGACATTTATCAAGCAGTTGCCATTTTTTTTCTGTTATCAATAAAATGTTACTAAACCCACAACAGTAAAATCAATCTGCATATGCAGTAAAGCATGCTTGTTATACTCAAGGGGTTAAGAGATTAATCCTCTGCATTTTGTAAAAAGGATTTTAATCCTGCCTTCTCTTATCCTCCCCTTCTTCCACTGTCCCCAACTCATCTCTTGATAGAACAGAGCCTTGGGGGCAAGTTGCACATGCTCAGTTTGGTGTTTCTAGAGAGTTTTTTTGTCCTTGGGAGAGTGCAAGTGATCAGCACAGGACTAAATCAGCACTGTCCAGACAGAAGGTCAGGGGTCCTGCAGTCTCACAGGACAGTGAGAGGGGAATGAAAACTCCTCCTACAAGCTTTAACTAGTGCTCTGCTGGACACAACCAGAAGCCACAAGACTGCTCTAACTGCTGATGAGAAAATGTATTTGGCAGTTTATATTTACCAAAATAATTGCATTTCCATGTTCTGTGTACTGTGGGAAACCAGATATAGTGAATGCAGTGTCCTGGGTTTAATAACACTATAACCAAACTATCAAATAATAAAATAGGATGCAAGGTGCATTTCCTCTAATTACAAACTGAGACCAGAGATACCTACATTTCTAATAAATAATCATTTATGTTTTAAAAACTTTTCCTTTTACACTTGGTTATATGGATATCTGTTTTTCGAATATTAGTCTCATGAACGACTGAAAGACCATTAATCTGACACAATACAGACCCAATCAGAAAACCTCTAAAGCGTTTAATGGGTTAATTTAACCTAAACACAAAGAGCCTGGCTCTGCATTAAAGCAGCTCGACCAACACCGCTTTCAAGATGTCCCATAAATGAGATTCAATTCCTGAAATGCAACATTTCATTCCCATCTTAAACGCACTAATTTATGTTAAATTAGACGTTCCAACTCGTACAGCATTGGTAATACAAAACCTTGCGGCTATAATCAAAGCCACTTGTAAGGCTTTCTGTCAGCAAGAGACCTAAATTCCCAAAGACAAATCTCAATGGCATCCCTAGCCTATTCAGATAACTGATACATGCAAAAAGTTGCTATTACATAGCCTACAGCAGCTGGATGATGGAAAGGCAATGAATTACTGCTACAATAGTTCTTTTATAGGAAATCTATAGTTTTGTGAATGAAGAATATAAAATAAGAAAATCTGATTGTCTTAAAAATTATTCTACAGTATATACCTCTTATTATACACATCACAAACAATTGTTCCTCTGCTGTGCAAGAATCATTCTATCTAGTGGAAACAAATGTTTGTAAAAGGCAAAGAATATATGACAGCCAATTGTGTGTCTTTTAAAGAATTCCTTTCAACTCTGGACATGTTAAATCCAAATCCCCTGAAATACAAAAGAATCTGGGCAGTCGAGATACACAAAATATGTCAAAGGTAGAGTGTGGTTACATGTAGCTTCCTGTATGTTTTTATGATAGTG